AAAATACGGAAAGCGCTACCATATTGGGCAGTGGCCTTCAGAATAAGGGCACGACGTAGTCTAATATCAACAAACGGGAAATACATTCTATGTTTTCACCCTAAACAGCTTTAAACATTCAAGTATAACCATCTATTTGCCAAATATCACACTTACTGCGTATTATGTGTTAAATGTAAACGTTTTAGCCGGACGTGGACTCTTATTTTGACAGCGGCGAGGCGGCTTTTCCTTCAGACCCACACAACGCTTGTTCGTCAGAGAAGACGCTCTTCTGATGTCACTGAGCCTCGGGGGCGAGTCTGCTCCGCTGCTATATAATCTTCCCGGCTCGGTGGATGAAACCAGCGCACTAAAATCAGATACGAGCAAATATACACGGAACAAACAAACATGGTGAAGATCACTTTCCAGACAGTTTCGGCGCAGAAGCCTGAAAAAGACAACGATGAAGACAAGATCATTATACCTCAGGGTCACGTGAGTTTGCACACTTTGTTTTTCTTTGTGTGTGTTCTGGTTATTTGTCTTGAGTCTCAGTATAGCACGAGTAGCCTTTACTCCTTTTGCATAGCTAAATAGATTAACGTTATGTTTAGCTGTAATGTTTGATTTGTCTGTCCATGCATCATCATGCCACTTTATTAATTAATTAATTTAATCCATGTTATATTTAACTATGTAAACTTCCTTATATATAAAAAAAGACAGTAGGTCTATATACTTAAAATAATGCATTTCCCCCCCATAACATTAATGCTAGTGAATGGTTGAATATCGCACCGCGTACTGCAGTTTATTATATTTAATTTTGCTGGTGCAGTTTGGGAATAGACCCAGCATTGCAGACCATCCCAGCCTGGGGATGTTGACATTACGTCACCTTGTGTGGCCACCGCGAGGACACACTGCAGACGGTTGTCCTGTGTGTGTGTGTGTGTGTGTGTTTTCAGGAGAATGACACCATCACTCTAGGTGGCTCATAAAGTACGGATATATAAAACAAAACCTCCCCATTTTTTTTATCAGTACAGGCGGCAGAGTGCAAATACCCTCAGTCGAAATGAGAAACATAGCTGTCAGATGCGGTCACTGCACCAATCATTGAAATCAGGAGGTGTTACGCCACGTGAATCCTGCATCCTTCTCGTGGGAGCGTGCCAGTGAGAGTGCTGTGTTGTATGTAAACAGTGGGCATGGTCTAAAGGCAGCATATACCCTTTATTCAATCTCGAAATTGAGATTATAAAAAGTAAGGAATTAAAATAAGCAAAAATGTGGACTGCTATTTTAATACTATTATGGTTTTATCTTTTTCCATATCCTATAAATAGGATACAGAGTTAATTGTAAAGGCCAAAGGGGTCCAGAAAGGAACTGAACATCTGATTGTGTTATAGACAACAATGCAGCATGGATCCATGGCCTCTGGTTTTTTTAGGCTCCAATTCTCAAACACAGAGCTCAACCAGATAGATGGATGGATGGATGAATGGATGGAGTAGTTTATCGTGTACATGGCTGTATCTTGATTGGTTAAACAATACATTAGCCTGATCATGTTATCTCTGAGCTTGGGATTGTAGAATGGCTTACATTAAATGTTTAAGCAGTCAGGCATGTCACAGTATGTCCAGATTTTCTTAGCCCCCTTTTTGGACTACCTCCCAGGAGTTAAACACAATTGGATGTACACCCGTCTAAGCCTCATCCTTTTTTTCCCAACACACAGTACTCAGTGTACACCACTTGATGACGCATCCATCACTTCTTCTGCAAACACATTTTTTCACCCGTTTCTTACGTCAACAGATGAAAATGACATGATTTCAAAGGCTGCGTGGATTCAGATTGGCTGCGACACTAGGCTAGGCGTCAGAGCCAATGTGTGTAGATCTATTAATATGTCCGCCTCTGATGAGGGACTCCTGCTCGACGCAATTGTTCCCGTTTGTACTCCCACTGAGGGTGCGAGTTAACTGCAAATATGGAGTGTGGAAGTGGGCCTCTAAGAATAGACCCAGACAGCCACGTGCCAGCATCTTCGTCAGAGCCCGGCACAATCTGTTCTCCCCGCTTCCGCTCTCCATAGCAACAGTAGTAGGGAGGGGTAGCAGATTGACTTGAGAGACTGTGGGTGGGCGTCTGGCATGCCTCATTTACAGTCCTACGTCTATCAGATCCCCTCGCCTGGCTAACGACGTGGCAACCGCCTGGTAGTGTGAGGCGACGTTACGCCCAATGATACTCCATCATAGAATTTCTTCTATGAAATTGAATTTAATTTCTTCCAAACGTGCTCAGAGTTAGATTTAAAAAGTTTGCACTGTTGACAGTATCACACTTTTACAGTATTCTGTTGCCATGCTTCATTAAAGCCACATCACATTTATATTAAGACATCAAATTAATATCTAAGACATGCTTTTCTTTGCTGCACCATTATATCAAATTGAAACTTTACATGTCTTGTTCATTATTTTGCACATATTTTGTATGACTGAAAACCTAAAATTGGAAATAAAACATACGTTTTAAGCACAATTTCCTGGCTATCTAACTGACTTTTTGTTCCTTGTCATCCCTGACTTGTCCTCTAACCCAACTGCTTTTGTCTTTACAGGAGCAACTGGTTCTTCCTGTCAGGTCCAAGAAGCCTTTTCCAACAGGCCTCTGTTGCCTCACCTTTGGCCTGGTGGCCTTTATGTCAGGACTGGTGCTGGCCTCCATCTTCGTCTATCGCTACTACTTTATACCTCAGGTCAGTTCAGTCTGCCTCCTTTTTCTTACCTACCGTAGCATATCTTGAACCCAGGAGCACAGATTGTTAATGAGCCACAATGTAAAAAAAATTAAAATAAAGTAACTGTCAGATGCTAACTCAGCTCTGTTGCGTCCCATTAGCAGATCCCAGAAGACAGCTTGTTCCACTGCCGGGTTGTCTTTGAAGACTCCGTGTACGCTCCTCTGAGGGGCCGGCAAGAACTCGAGGAGAATGTCGGCATCTACCTTGACGACAACTACGAGCAGATTAGTGTACCTGTGCCACACTTTGGAGGCAGTGACCCCGCTGATATCATCCACGACTTTCAGAGGGTAGGTTAAGGCATCCATATGTTCACTATTTGCTCTCATTAAAGTCTCTTGTTAAAGTGCTTCATTGTGGGTCAGGGTTTAACCTTTTTATAATTGATTCCAGGGCCTCACAGCTTATTATGACATAGCTCTGGACAAATGCTACATCACTGAGCTGAATACAACCTTGGTGATGCCTCCGCGGAACCTGTGGGAGCTGCTCGTCAACGTCAAGGTGAGGCACTCACGACAGTCGCTGATGATGTGTCTGGGGGAGCTGTTGTGAAAGCATTGTTAGAGATGAATGGCTGTCTGAGAGAGTGAAGGACAAGCGTGTTCCCATCTGCAGCGTTCCTCCCACAGGCAGATCGTATGAGTGATTCATTTGTGTCTCTTTGCCACAGAGAGGGACGTATCTTCCTCAGACTTACATCATCCAGGAGGAGATGGTGGTGACAGGGAGGGTGTGGAACATGAGGCAGCTGGGCCCGTTCATCCACAGGCTCTGCTACGGCAAAGAAACCTACCGCCTCAGACGCCGCAACCAGCGCAGACGTAAGTGTGCACATACACTTCCTTTTGCCGATCTACTCAGGCAATATGAGATGCTTAATGATGAGGGAAGAGCGCGGGGTCACTTCTGCTAATGTATCACCCTCTTTCACACCAGCTCTTGTGAGATGTTTAGTCATATTCTCTGTTCTGGGTCACTGGACTTGAGAAGGAAAGTATTCCTCTGGCGAGTCACAGGGAATCCGGTGTTCAGTTCTGGTGTGTAGGAGCAAACAGAGAGCGGGTGACCCTACAGAAGACAAATACAACCAGAACCAAATAGGGGCTTCCTGGTGAACATATCAGACAGTGTGTCTGCAGTGTAAAATCCTTCTCTGACAGCCTGGCAGCCTGATTACCATATCAGTGTGTATGTTGGCGCAGCCTGGGAACTTCCTGCTATGTGAGTCACTAGTAGTGCAGTGGACACATCCACACACTATGGAGGAGGTAGTGATGCACATGAGTGATATCTCTGTTGCTGCTGCCTTTGATTTGACTGAGAATGTTAGAAATGATGCAACAAACTTCCCCCGAGTACATATATGGATGTGATTTGCTGAGATCACTGCTGCTGATTCAAAATGGACTTTTCTCATAGGCCCGGTAGTAGCAGAGGTGCAATGAACACTGCGAGCCTCCACTGAACAGATTTTCTAAACGTGTTTTCTTTTTTCCCTTCCAGGTATTGACAGGCGTGAGACAAAGAAGTGCCACAGCATCCGTCACTTCGAGAACACTTTTGTGGTTGAGACCGTCATCTGCGACAGGGTCTAAATCTAAAGGCGGAAATCACAGCCATCCAACACAGAAGCCAGTTCCAAACCATACCTCTTGAATTTATTTAGGCTTTTAACTGCACTTTAAGAGCGAGTATCTGTCCAACAGTTTTAGTTTCAGTTGTAAAATTTTTTTGTTTGTTTTGTCTCAAGTTGGAAATGCTCTTTTATTGTTCATGTACAATGTTATTATATTTTTTATTCAAATAGTCTGTATGTATGGATGAAATGTGTTTGGATATATCTGTAGCTTGTCACGTTGTCCATAAGATGTTAATGTGTGTCAGTCTATGACATTTTCATCTTAAGACTTTTTCATTTTAGTCCTTATTTTTATATAGTAACTCAGCGCACTGTGGGTGGTGGTAAGGATATTAGGAAACTGCTTTCACTGTGCGCTCATGTTAGTATTCGTTTCTCGTTTGTTATTTTATTTCGTTTTGAAAGTCAGAAAATGGCAAAACATACCTCATGTAGTTTAGACGTTTCTTTGTTAGTTTATATCATTAATGAATGGTGTATATAACTTTGAGTGTTCCTAAGCAATATATACTGTAAATTGATTCTGAACATATTGTTACATGCATAGATTTTTATCTGAAATCAACCTTTTTTGTGAACAATCATTTCTTTATGGTTTGTCTCTTTATTTCCTTTGGTATCACACTTTCCTACTCCTTGGATATAATGGCTTGAGACTGTAATTAGTAGCAGTGCTTTAGAGAGACAGAAGGAACCAAAGTCTGCAGTGAGTGATGCTTTGCTTAGTGTTAAGGATTTATGAGACATTTACAAAGAATGCTTTTTACTGTAGATGATATCAAAGGCTACATCTAATTTTTTTGTCTTGCTCTTCCTCCTCTTCACTTGGATTTGCCTGTTGTCTTTATCTCGCGCCAGTCCCTAATCCTTCCTATCTTGGCATTATAATCTCTACAATGTTGATTTGTCCCAACTTAAAAAAAAGATTTGGGGTGTCTTTCTAATGTGCAACCTGGAGCAAATAAGTCTCTGTTGAGAGAGACCGGTGATATGTGGTCACATTTCATTGTCTTGGGATATGTTATTTTGCTGTACAGTCAAATTTTCTTGTACTATCTTGCTGCTTTAAGAATAAATGATCAAACTTTCTCTTTGTCTCTTGATTGTTTATCAGTTTCAGTAAAGTATACACAGTATCACTCTGAAGTTAGGTGGAGGGGGGATTTAGTGTAGGTTTGTTTTTCAGGAGTTAGGCTTGGTCCCTTAGTTCCAGTGAAAGGAACTGTTAATGCTTCAGCATACCAAGACATTTTGGACAATTTCATGCTCCCAAATTTGTGGAAACTTTTTGGGGATGGCCCCTTCCTGTTTCAACATGACTGCGCACCAGTGCACAAAGCAAGATCCATAAAGACATGCATGAGTGAGTTTGGTGTGGAGAGCTTGACTGGCCTGCACAGAGTCCTGACCTCAACCCGAAAGAACACCTTTGGGATGAATTAGAGCGAGCCAGGCCTTCTCGTCCAACATCTGTGCCTGACACCACAAATGCACTGGTAGAAGAATGGTCAAAATTCCCCATGAACACACTACAAACCTTGTGGACAGCCTTTCCAGAAGAGTTGAAGCTGCTCTAGCTGCAAACCTTACAGATTAAGAATCAGATGTCATTGACCTTCATGTGCATGTAAAGTCAGGCGACCAAAAACTTTTGGCAATGTAGTGTATATTAAAAAGGGAAACAAACACTATGATTTAACATTTTCTTTTGAACTTCCTCTCAGTCAGTAAAGACAAATGCACAGCCCTGATCAGTTCCATATTTTTGGGACATGCTACCCATATTTTAAAGTGTTGCTTATGATCTGTGGATAATTGTTTCTACAGAACCAAAAAATGCCACTTCATGGTGGTGAGTGTAACGCTCCTCACAAGATGAATCTCTTGTGGTTAGCTTTATTTCACATCAAAATGGAAGAGGTGCGCCTCGGACGGTTTTGGTTTCAAAATTGATGTCAAATTGTTGAAAAAATATTGAGCAAAGTAATTATTTCTGTAAATTGATCCATGTGTCATGTCGTAATGTAAACTTGAGCTGTAAGTTTCAGAACAGATGTAAAACAATTCTCTGGGTCAACAAAATCTACCTTATCCTCCTGTAAAGGGCTTTTTGCTGATGAATAATCATTTAACATCATTATGTTTTTGTCCGGGCTTTCTTTATTTTACAGACTCGTTGCACAAAAGAACAGGAAAAAAAACATGTCGAGCAGCTCCATGACTTCACAAAAACAAATTTCACTCAGAAACTAAAGAATTGGGCATAAATTAATACAATTGAAACTCAACAAAGAGGAGGCTAGTGCAACATGAAAGTAACAAGTAATGCAAGTAGAGCAAAACAGTTTCGTGTCTTTTTTCCAGTTTCAGAAGAGAGATTTGTACTTATTATTTCATACAATAAAAACAATATTAATATACAGTAAATCCCCTAATTGAGTGCAGTTACCACAGCGTGACTCTGTTCACCACTGAGCAAAAACAAAACAACAAACAGAGCATGTACATCATTCCATTTGGGTTTAGCTTTTACCGTATTCAAATAACTCAAATGTCCTCCTGCAAACAAACTAATATCAAAACAGTCTCGTAGTACAGTGGTCAGGTGCACAGCCATTAACAGCTTTAATAATTTTAACAACTTTAATAATAGTATTGCACATGTTTGAAGCTACATTGTAAAAATAAAATTAACATTTCAAATAAAAAGTACATATACAATTATATTAACACATGTCATATATATCCATATATATGCATTACTGTGAGTCTAAAGAAGTTGACAAGTAAGAGCCAAATAATAAAAAACCAACACCATCACTTTGGATTCATAAAACTTCATATCATTCGTTTTCCCCCTGACATTATTTGATTTTGCATTATTAACATCAGAGGTCAATTTTAAATCTATACAAGCAGAAACTCTTTGCCACTCAGCTGCAGGCTATATTTACATATGGATTTACAGGATGGATACATAAAAGAAACTTCTCCCCAGATGAAATTCTTAAAAATAAACAAAATCTATTTGTTAAATAAATTTCTGATGCTATATATATATATATATATATATATATATTATTAATTATTAATCAAAGATATCTATAGGTACTTGTATTACAAGTAGGTAATATTTCGAAAAATGAGTTACAGTGTGCTGAAGAACCAAACTAATTAAGATAGTAATTAAATGTTTTAAGTATCATTTAAGGTTTACATAATCTTAATGAATGATAATTAATTACTTTCATGTGTTTCAAGATCACAACTGGTTGGTGTCTTTGTGAGATTTACGGATCACATTTTTTCAAACGCTAGGTACATGAATGTGCAAACGAATATCTAGATAAAAGTGAAGATTTAGTTTGCTTCAGTTTGAATTATTTATTTGTTTCAAGTTGACTTTTAATACATATCTGCATTTTAGAAATGACAGATGCTTTATAAATTAAACCTATCATAATTTGTTGTGTCCTATTAGAAGTTTCACAATTTACTAACAGTGTTTATTGAGCCAAATTGGTCCGAAATGTATGGGCCCCTGATCTTGGCTGATCTTGTCTTTATTGAGGAGCATATCAGAAAAGTAAGAGCGCCTTTTACGTATCTTTCACTTGACTTCTACAAAGTAAACTACAAAGCTCTGCAATGAGCCACTGGTGCCTGGTTTACAGTTTTACCATTTTAAAATTAATTGTACCGCACATCAGTTTTTCACTCGTTGTCAGTGTGTAGGACTGGATGACCCAAGAGTGCTTCGAAACATTTCACAAGGTCTTCCTTAAATCATTTCAGAAATATGTCACATTGTGGCTTGTCAGTAGTTTTCCTTGTTGCAACCTTCTTTTTTGCTCTTGAGGCTACAGAGGTGCCAACCGGCTTCCTGTCACCAGACCAAATCACGCATCATTGCTCGTCAGATCTTCTTCCTAAACTACATTTTAGCTTTACTCTCAGCACTGTGGTTAACTGAGATTGCACTCTAACCTATTTGAGTTCTCCCTCCTACTCTTAGTGCATGCCACATTGGCTAGCTACTGGAAACTATACTGGCAACTTCTCAGTTTCACTGCCCTGCTTAAGCTCAAGAAGCCAGCTCTTGTTTTCACTAGCCCTCTGAAATTATATATTAACTTGAATTGTATTTGTGCTGTGTTCAGACCTCTGTGCTGAAGGTGGGTCTTCTTTGGCTAATTATGGACAGCCTGAATGTGTTTCTGGTGCTCCTCACCTCATGAGCGATGAAGTAGTAGCACAGGGCGTCCAGACAGCAGGTGATGTTGGACAGGCACATGGCTATCTGTATGAACAGGCTGATCCCTTTCTTGTTGCTGCAGTCCTGAATCACTTCTTGGTGCACCTGGAATGTAGGACGGAAACACATCAGTCTACCATCCTGTCTACATGCATGAAAATCGTATAACAACACTAGAGGTAACCCAGTGAACTCTGCTGCAGTTGCATGTTGTTATATTCTTTGAAGATGATCTCTTCATACATCTGCTGTATTTGTTACATGTTGTTATATTTGTCAAACTCTGCAGTAATCATTTTGAGATGAAAATGAGAAAATGAAATCTCTTACATTTAAATAAAGATTATACCCACCACCCGAATATCAGGGCTGTAACTGCAGTGCATCACTGAGAACAATCAGGCCACGTCCTTGCCATTTCCTCGTTTTTTATTATCTGTTGCTTTCAATTTAGATGAAAAATAGGTGCGGAACAGTCTGCCAGGACAACGTCAGTGATTAGTTTTACTTATTCTTTCAAACATATGCCGCAGCTCCAGGATGTCAGTATCAATATCAAAATTCTATATACTTGTGTGGCTAAAATAAAATGCTCACAGATGCCATGTTTGATACTGAAATAATACTGATTCAATTGGCTGCACACACTTTGTAACATTGACATTTAAAAAAAAATAAGACCATGCTTAACTTAAGAAATGTGTCTGAAAATGATCAGATAGTGTAATGGTAAGCCTACTGGTTTGTCATTTTTTTAAACAAATAAACAGTATAATTCACAGAAAACGTCAGTATTTCTAAATCTCCTGGTTACAGCCCTGCGACCATTTGCCTGCTGCTAAAAAAGTTGAGTGGATTGTTTGCTTTGGCAGGAAGCGTTACTTCTGACAGTGTTGTAACATAAAGCTGATGCACTGGTTGACAAATATTAACTGTCCATGAGAAAGCGTATAGATTCCCCAACAGAACAATCAAAGCACACTGCTCCAGTAAAGTAATGTGAGAATCCATTCCCTTTCATGTGGACCTGATGTAGTATAAGACAGAAGTCATTTAGATCATGTGTTCATTGCAAAATTAATTATGATTTTTACACACTTCCTGATATATATATTTTTTGGATATATTGTATTTTGGAATGAAACCCTTCATTTGTTGAACCAACAAGGACGAGAAGTCCTTAAATAGGTCAGAAAAACTGGGCACAACCCCATCTGCTGATGACGCTTATGTGATGTGATGCGAAAGCTCCAGAACAACTACTGAGTAGACCTTTATTTGTTATCTACTTTACCCTTCAATTTATTTAAGATGAACTTGCAGTTGATCTCACCAGGAACTGCAGGAGGATGCCCAGGTGGCTGGGGGTGAAAGGCACAAGGAAAGCACTCAGGCTGCTGTAGATGATCTTCACACAGGCACGGCTCTGGGGGCTGTGCTGGCCAGACTGCTGAAGCGCCCAGATGGTCTGGACAGAACAATATACCACCACCAGTGCAGGCAACAGGAACCCAAACACCTGCAGACAGATGATCACTTCAGGCTTCCAGCCATTCTTTGAAAATCTGTGGAAGCAGTTGAATTTCATCTCCTTGGCCTCCCTGAAGCGATAGATGGTTTGAGTGATCACTGCCAGCACCAGCACCCAGACCCCAAAGCAGGTCCACAGAGCCGCTTTGGGTGAACGCAGTACCTTGGCTTTGAAGGGGTGACAGATGGCCAACCATCGGTCCACAGCTATGCACATGATGGTGTAGATGCTGCCATATATCCCAAAAAAATACAGGCTTTCCAAGACTGAACAGAGGGGTTGGAGGTAGGTGGGCCAGAAGTTATTGGTGGCGTGCATTTTGAAGGGAAGAGGGAAGAGGAGGAGCAGGTCCATCAGAGCCAAGCTGGTCATATAGATTGTTGACTCCGTCCATTTACGCAGAAAGATGCAGAACACAAACAGCGCTACAACATTGAGGACCAGACCAAAGGGGAATATGGGGATGTAGATGGCCAGCTCAAAATATCTCATCAGGTTGTCCACCCCATCAAATGAACAGTTGGTTGTCATGTTGTCGCCGCCGTTGCTGCAGAGAAAATAGTTTCATTTTCTTTCATTTCAACAGCTATGTCAGGATTTCAATATAAACCTGTCTTTCCTGTCATTACTCTTCCGTTCCCACACAGAAACATATGTAAGATATGTCAGTGTACCAAGCCACTTGAAACCTCTGAGTTGTGTGGGTTCACTGGCTGAGAACCTGTTTTTTGCATCTGCTTTCTGGTTTGAAGGCCAAAAACACCAAGAGAACATATATTATTTGAATTCACATGCACTATATGTTCAATGTAAGTTAAATTAGAATTAAAAAAATCAGGTACAGGTTGAGGTAAACTGATTAATTATTTTGACTTTTAATTTAATTTAGATTTGAAAGGTCTTAATCTTGACTCTTGGTCTGTCAGATTGGGCCCCTGCAGCAATGTGCCACTGCTATGCACTTTCATTGGCTGTTGGACCTTTTCAGTACATCTGTCTTTATGAAATACATGATTCCCTGAAAGATCTGAGACTTCAGTGATTTTAACACAATCCAACACAAAGAATCAGGTCTTTCGTGGAACCATCTGCAGTCGTCTCTAGAGGAAAATGTCGTGACAGAGAAAAGTTATTAACGCTCTGATGTGGTAGATTTTACAGAGATAAAACAAAAACACATCTCTGAGATCTGTAGCTGTGCATCTAAACGAAAATTAAAAAAAAAAAACATAGACTAGATCTCCCGGATGTTGAATAAATAATGTCATCTAGTACAGTATGTTGTTAGCTCATTCAAGTGATCAAAATCGAGGCCCTTTCCAATTACATCGACATCATTCCCAACAAAATTAATTAATATTTTGTAATTCCTCTAATTCCTTACTCATATCATCTAGTAGTTGCAATGATGATGCAAAGTCTGGCTTGCAATTTAAAGATTTAAACAGAAGTGGTTCACACACGTTTGGTTCATCATTGACATGTAACTGCAGCTCTTAAAAAGTCTAACCTGGCACAGTTTTAGTATTAGGTATCTCGTACGGCGGAAAATGTGAAATGTAGTTGTGCTCTTACCTCACGGATGCCATTCTCTCAGTGGAACGTTCAGTGCGTCTGTCTGACTGTGCCAGACACTTCTGCTTTGTCTGTCTTTGTTGTTGCGCCACCACTTCCTGAATCATGCCACACATCATGCATGTGTTCAGATGTGCATTATAGCCGTTTAAAATCAAAGCAGACATTTACTCGACCAGCAGGTCTTCACTCTTACATGTCTTAAACATACATGCATGCTTGTTCACTGCAAACTGCTAGAACAGAAGATTTCATTTGTATTTGAAACATCAGAAAAAATTTACAGTATGTCGCTCACCTGTTTCCTGAGAGACGCTTCACCAAATAAAAACATACAATGATTACAGCTGAAACAATGAATTGATTAATTCTAAAATGTGATGATTTGCTGCTTTTCTGTGTTTTATATAAACTGATATATCAACAAACAAATCTGCAACTAGTCAGTAATGAAAATAATCATTGGCTGTAGTAGAGTCTTCAGCAAACATTAGTGTTCTGGGAGACTCAGACACAGCAGTGCTTTGAGCTGAATGATGATATCAGCACGCTAGCATGCTCACAATGACAGTGCTGACATGCGGATGTTTAGCAGGTATAATGTTTATCATGTTCACCATAAGTTTAGTAGGTTAGCGTGCTAACCTTTGCTAAGTAGCAGTAAACACAGCTGAGGCTGAGGGGAATGTCAATTATTTTGCAGGTGTAGGCCACAAAGTGTGAAATGTTGGCCTGCTGGTGGTGCTGGAGGAAAAGGTAGGGGATTACAAAAGTCAGTAGCATTTATCCTTTGGGGACTTTCATCATAATTCATCCAATAGTCAAGTGAAGTAGAGTTGTATTTGTTCCTGCAGGGGCAATTAGTTTTATAGCAGTAAAAATAGATACCACAGACCACACATACTATCACACAAACACCAAAAGGAGAAGGAAAAATAGAAGGAAAAAAAACACAGAATACTGAATATTCTAGTACCACTACGAAAAAGGCAACATTTACCAGCATGGTCGGGTGGTGTAGCTGATGTTACCTTTTACTGTTGGACTTTAACAGTGAAATGGCTGAGGGTATGAAGAACTGTTTGTCTCTGTTGGTTTTGGCTAATGGGTGCTTGAAGCGGGAACCCGAAGACAGGGTCTACAACTCTTGATATTGAAATGTGTGACAAGACAAGGCCTTTTTGTATATATTAACTTTATACTTTTTACGTCAACGACTAAGTTGTTCATAGGCACGTTTAATCTCTTCATCAAAGTATAAATCTAGCATCGATCACCATTAAAGCTTGATGACTCAGATACTGTGGTTTCTGTACAGGGTCTGTTATTTTTGTGCTGGCATTTGTCTGAGTGTGTCTGTGGAAATCAGTCTTCCTATCTCACAGAGAAAGACTGAAAGGCACTTCAAAGCGTCCATTCTTTCAAGTGTGTGAGAATCTGCAGATGCTGATTTAGACTGTGATTATGTTTGAGGGTTTCCTGGTTTCAGATATAACGTTTACTGTACTTCAAAGTGTGAGAAAGTCTTAACGAATGATAAAATACATGACTTGTTAATGATGATATTTGTGGAGGACAGTGTGAGCTTGAAACCTCATCAGTCATCAGAGACATCTTTTTATATCGGAATAGTTTAGGGCACATTTGTGTTTTTTTTTTAAATCTAAATGAAAATGAAGCTGCCAGCCACACTGCCACCTACTGTTGTGACTGAACTGAGGGCAGTGGTCACAAATGTCTTCTCACTTAAAACTCCGTCGTCCTCTGTGTTTTTGGACCATAAGGACTCAGCTGGGTTTCTTTTGTATCAACACACAACTTTTTACAATAAACATATGCTGCTGCATTTTCTTAACAGAACACAAACAGATAGAATAAAGGGATTACAATTATATAGTAATAACGTGGTGGCGATTTGTCATAACTCTAGGCACAGATACAAATTACAGGAAATGACTGTTGTATAGGCATTTTGTTATCTTTTGTGAAAACCTGTTTGCTTGTTTCTTTAGTATCAGTCTAATTTTTATCACTAGTATTGGCAATTACAAATTGTATTTCATGTAATACCTCAATGCTAACTGACAAAAAAGGCATGGTTATAATAATAATAATAATTTTCTGTAAATATCATTCATCATTCTATTCACTGTCTTGACTCAGTGGTCATGTGTTAAAAGAAACTCCATGTAGTGGTCACAGGATGTTTGGCATGTGATTTATTTATTCAACTAAAATCTCATTATCTCAAGTCTCAACTTAAATATAATTGGGCAGTGACATTAACATGGCAACATCCAGCTGAAGGGTTGAGTACTGAGGACTCTGAGGCATATAGAATAAGACAAAATAGTCTTACTAAAATACGACCCCCCACTCCCCCCATGCAAATAAAACAACAACAAAAAACTCCAAACACTCATTTGAGTGCAAACACACATTCATCCATGCTCTGGCTTTATATTTGCTCGCAGGTAAAACAAACAACCCAACTACCCTGTTTACATTCATCAAAGAAGCCTTTTAAAAAAAATGTTTTCTCCTTATTTTGACTCCACCAATGTTTGTAAATGGTGCAGTGCAAACTTAAAAACTTGTACACGAGGGAATATTTTAAAAATAACTTCGGCGCAAGGTGAAATCATTGTGAAATACTTATACAGACCTCACATGTAGGCACATACATCTCAAATATCTTTCTTATTGAAGGAAAAAAGTAAGACACGGACTAAGAAAAACGCACACACACACATCATGTACAAAATAAAAGCAAACACATACGGGATACTTCACATCAAACTCCCTGGACAAACAGCCCACACACATTAAAACCCTTTAGAGCATGCGTGTAAGACTATGAGAAGGAAGGAAGAAAAATGGACATGCTATGATTTCCACTGGAAGAGCCAGCCAGTTTCTAACATTATACCTTCAGGAACAAGTAGACATGTTGAGCAACATTTAAGAATGTGTTTACAGTAAATCTGTAAATAGTCAGTCAGGGGACCTGCCACAGTTTTTTAGCATCTACAGTAAAGTAAAATACACAACTAATCTTTAAAGGAAAAATAAGGACTGGGTTAAGAGTTGAGAAATTCAGATGGGAAGCAAAAGAGAAACGCTGACACACTGTGTGGCATACACACACACACCCACACCCACACTCACACACACACACACACACACACACACACACCACACACACTCACACACACACACACAGACAAGTATACACAAGATGAAATTTCTTCACTCTAGGAGGCGGTAAACTTCCTGAGTGTGATGACAATGAGGGCGAGGAGGACAGATGCTCCCAGGAAGACTGCTATAACAATGGCTGTGATGGCCCCTGGCCCCAGAACACCTGCACGCACGCACACACACACACACACATACACATACACATACACAAACACAAACACATACACACACACACACACACACACAGAAAGAGATGCAGTTTTAATCACTTGAATTCATATGATTGACACAAATTTGGTGGCTCTGAAATGACCAGATCAAGAGTCAGTTTCACCTTCCTCCTCGTCCACGTCCTGGGAGAGTGTGGTGTCCTCGTAGTCGGAGGTGAAGGCCTGCTCCGTCATTTCCTGGAAAGGCTCTTTGGTGGTGACGTCACTGGGTGGCTCTCCAGACATGGTGTCCTGGTTGTCCCTGGTTGTTGAGGCAGGGTCTGCAACTGTCTCTGCAGACCAAAAGAAAATAGTCACTAAATCCCTGCAGTGGCGGAGACTGCGTGCTGTGCTGTATTGACTTACTGGGTGTTTTCTTAAGACAGTAATTTCACTGACGAGGCACGCTACTTTGCTAATGGCTCTGTTTGACTTTTTCTCTGGACGCTGAGGCCTCAGGGATGCAGAGCAGCATACATGGCCCCATCTGTAACGGCTCCAACAGCCTCTCTCTGTCTCACTGGGTTAACGGCTCGGGCCTGAGCATAAGGATGTCTTTGTAGAGGATGCACATTTTGTCCGTTTGAGCTACAGGTAGCCTCTCAACATGTTTCTCTTTTGCCCAAGGGTTCAACCAAGCTTGTGTATTGTTTAAAAAAACTCCTTGAGGCAACGATTGGTTAATTATTTCAACGGAGTAATAGATATTTTATGCTTTAGCACAAACAGCTTGTAGGAGAGACAATGATTCCCTAACTAGCGCATGAAGCTCAGGCTCTGTACAACTCTCCGCTCTCTTGTCCTCTGCCAATCAGTCGTCTGTTCTCTTTCCATCCCAAATTGTCCTGACATTCCTCCCATCTGAGCATGAAGTTACCCTGGGACTTTTCACACCTCTACAGTAGTCAGAGAAACAAAGTCTCTTTCTAGGCCACATTTCTGTTTCTTTTAGAGCCTAGCCTCTGGAAATGCTCAACTTGATAATAATATCTTTGATGGTAACTGAACGGCTGTACAGCTTTTCTTTTGAAATCCAGAGGAAAGGGGGGGTGACTTTCATTGTCATCTTCCCTGAAAAAAAAACAACTCTTCACACACAAGCCCACCCACTCACTGATTCACTTATCCTATCTTCAACTATACGCATACCAACAAAACCATAATCCAAACGTATTCACACACAGTTTATTTAACGCTACATATTTACTTTGTAGCCTCTGACGCCCTCAGTAAACTCCTTCACCCTGCTTTAAATCTCTCATTTCTTTTGTATGCCATTATCAAAGCTAATATGACTCTAACAGATCTGAATACATGATACGATTACTAAGACACCAGTGCATATGATATAATCTCAAGTGATTAATGTCAGCTCCATAAACTGTGGTATCTTCAAAATTCTGATACGCACTTCTGATGTGAGTATTTTGATGCTGCCGTGTTGACTCGGAGTTGTGTGCAGCTTCCTGTCCAGTAGCTGGCTGGAGGTTTGGAGGCCTAGGCCTCTGGCCAGCTCAGCCATCAATGAGGCCTTCAGCCGAGGGCACAAAAGGCAGCTTGTGCGGTCACGGAGGGCGGCCAGGCTGCAACCAGTAACAACCGGCCAGGCCCAAACCAGGCACCGGCTAGGCACTGGATGTCAAACAAACTTGTTTATTAAATAGTCCCCGTGTGCAAAAGGCTGTGCCTTCTGGACAGCTTGATTTAATAAGAAGGCAAAAAATAATAATGTTTTCCGTTGGTGTTTGTTTCCACGAGCTGGCAGTTTACTCGAGCTTGAAATTTCAGTTTAATGGGGTTAACATAACTGAAGCCTCTAGAAAAGCATAATTATTCTCAGCTGACAGCTACATAGGTCGGTGGTTCCCAACTTCTGTTGTCTGATGTACCCCTCAGCCTTATCAAATTAGCTCAATTACCCCTTCATCAACACCATCATGTTCCGATTTAACCATTTACCAATTACTTTTATCAGTTAATCAGAAATATTTGTTCATTACTTTTAGCTTACTGTTTATTCCTTAGTTTGAGCTAATTATATAAACTGTTTGTCCATTACTTTTAGCTATTCCAATTATTTATTCATTACTTTTAGCTAGATATTAGAACAGTTTTGCAATTAGTTAGTTAACTATTTCACATGACGTTAATGTGCTGAAACTGCTTGAGATATTGCAGTTTGTTTATTGTAGATTAATTCGTATCAAACCAAATGTGTAATCCTATGGCTGTTTAATTTCCCCCTGAACATATGTGGATTTTTATTTGAATTAAATCACAATTAAAATTTTTATTAATTTAGTTATTTGATGTTACGTTAGCTTTCCATCACCTGGTACCCCCCTAGGGTAACAAGTAGCTATGTTTCGGAATCCCTGCACTAAGTCACACTTTTTAAAGACATGACTCCACGTGCCAATCAAGAACCCTCCTTCTGTGTACACAAGTCCAGACTCTTAACAGCCTGGCAGACTGTAGGGAAGGCTGATTTCAGACACTAAAAAAAAAAAAACAGAAGCCCATTTGTTGGTTCCTCAGGCCTCTTCGGTCAGGATTTCACACCAGCCAGAGAGATGACAAAGCACGCAGACGAGGTTGTGTTAAAAATCAACCATGCCAACTATCAAAACCGAGAGCGACGCAGCCCAAACATTTCATCGATGGTGTCGCATGTTCTTGCTTTACCCTCTTTAACTTCCACGTGGCCACCACATTTTCCACAGTAAAATATTTGACAAATGCCCAATGTGTGTTGGATTTTATTCTAAAATGAGGCGAGTGGGAATGGGGTTGGGTTGCTCTGGTATTGTGGCGCAATGCTCTGTGTCTTGCACGCTGCATTAGGGCAGTCAATTTGAGGAAGAAACAAGTGTGTGCATAATTATCCCACACACTTATCTGACATTCTCTGTCGGTTTATCTTGCTGTGTCGGCTGTTGGGGCTGTGTGTCATGCTGGCTCAATCACTAGGTTGATGTTTGTGGTCAAGACTGGTGGCACTACTTGAAAACAACACTACATAACAACCACAACTGAACTTTCCTGAGTGTTGGGAGGCATTAAAAATATGTTTACACCTTAAACAGTCCAAAGAAGTCGCAAGAAGAGATATTTTTAGAAAGGTGTAGTCAAGTCATAGCACCTCAATATGAGAAACCCTGATCTGGTGTTTGGCTCAGAGACTTTTCTTCTACCCCAGCAGCTTTTGTGTGCCAAGTAAAAGGTGACTTCTTTTTCACAGAACAGGGAGGACATCGTGAACTTACTATATCCATGTCGCCCCTTTGACCCCTTGACCTCTATTTTGAGCTCTGGGCCTGAGAGCTGCTCTACTGTGTCCAGAGCTATTTTCACATTAATTTGAGAGACGTCACAAAGAGAAACAGAGAAACACAGATGGAAGAAAGTGAAAGAAAGACCAGTGAGCGTGCTCATCTGTAAATAGCACTCATGCTGAGAACTAGCTGATGTTATATGTAAACATCACAAATGAATCATCCTTAGTACCACCTCCAAAATCTCCCCACTTACACGAAAATAAACTCTACACCTATGGACGTTTTCGCTACCTCAAACAGATACTAGGGCAGCATGTATTCAGCTTCACATGAAAATCAGACATCATGAAAGCAAGTGAGTCATGATCTTCGTCAAAGAGCAGCTTTCACAGCTCTCAACAACTGCATCATTTACATCAAGCTGCAGACTCATACATAGAGGCCTGTGAACGTCTATGTGTATGTGTATGTGTGTGTGTGTGTGTGTGTGTGTGCAGAAAAGAGGGCAAAAAATGACACGTGTACACACGTATTTGATTTGATACCTACAAAGGACAAAAACATCCGCCTATGAATCACATAAAGCAAGATAAGCAAGCAACTATTTACCTTAAATCAACCCATTCTAAAATGTTCCACAAATTTAAAGACACAGTGTTAGGGTACAAACAAGTAGCTCATTTCTGAATAACAGTTGTCTGCCACAATTATCTGTCACCTTATTGTTACAAAACTATTTTCCTCACATCACACCTTTCATTTCAAGAGTTACAGCCAGAAATGTTCTTCTAATCAGACTGTGGTCTTGCATGCTTTGTCTTCTCTTTCCTAGAATATTTCTACCATAATTAGTTGCAGAGCACACATGCAAGGTTAGATATATGTCACCCAACCACAGATATGAAATAAAAATATCACACTCAAAAGGAGGTTTACCTGTGTGTACAAAGGCTACCATGATGCCTAGGAGCACCAGGAGGAGGAATCTGCAGATGCTGCTGCTGTGAACCATGGTGGCTGTGAAGGATGAACGTCAAGACAAAAAGACTCCTCAAGGAACTTCAAACGAGTAACCGACCCCGGGAGAGGAGCAGGAGAAGAGACAGCAGAGCGCAGGAGGGGGAGAGGTAGGCAGCTAAGGGGGGCAGAGAAGGGGTGGGACTAGGTGTGCACAGGACTGTCTGGACACTGTGGACTTTGTGAGCACATCACCGCAGGGCACGCCCACACCATACTCCTCCGGCCACATAGCTGGGTGTGAGGGGTAAATATTCGGTAGCCATTGACCTTAGCCAGGTCACATCACGAACATCCCTGCTGGACATTTTACGCCTGTACTCTTGAAGGAAATATCTGACAACAAAGAAATCAATTCTAAGTCCAGAGATGGGGGTGTAACAAGAATTAACTACACATAAAAGTCCTGCAAGAATAAGTATGAATTATTAGCAGCAAAACGTAGTTTCAAAAGTAAAAGTACTCTTTATAAAGAATCACTATAATAGCATTTTAAAGGGGTACTTCCAAAAAGTTGAGGGACTCACAAATGACAGATTAGAAAAAGAAAAAAGGTCAAAATCGAAGTTGTAGGTGCTGAGATATTCTGATTTTCCAGTTCCCGTGGTTCAAGCTCCAACAATGTTGGGTCCTACCTTTTTCATTATGCAATTGGCCTGATAATCAGACTGACTTGCCATATGTTTCACTCATGGACAGTATAAAACATGGACGGAGCCTCCGTGACGTCACCCATAGGTCTCTGAAGAGTGTGGCGGCTCCGGCCGTCGCAACATTGGCAGAGCCTGACATTGGCCAATCCAAAAATTGAGTGTGGGTGGAGCTTGTAGACAGCTACTGACTTGCCACCTGTTTCAGCACCCACCCCTCACTCAAAGCAGCCACTCCCTTAATTATGCATGACTTAAAGTCTTTTTAAAGTTTAAACCGATAACTTTCATAAAAATGTACCACCCACACAGTTATAGGGAAATTAGGTAAAGAGACTGGAGGCTGATCTTTACATATGAGTGCTGCCAGCATTGCTGCAGAGGTTGAAGGGGTGGGGGGTCAGCCTGTCAATGCTCAGACCATCCACCGCATCAAATTGGTCTGCATGGCTGTCATAACAGAAGGAAGCCACTTCTGAAGATGATGCACAAGAAAGCCCGCCAACACTGGGGAGCTACAGTTCATTGAGGGAACCATGAATGCCAACATGTACTGTGACATACTGAAGAAAGGCATGATGATGACTGGTCTGGCCAAGCACTTCTCCAGACCTTAACCCTATTGAGCATCCCTGGGTCATCGTCAAACCAAAGGTGGAGGAGTGCAAGTCTCTAACATCCACCAGCTCCGTGATGTTATCATGGAGGAGTGGAAGAGGACTCCAGTGGCAACCTGTGAAGCTCTGGTGAACCCTATGCCCAAGAGGGTGAAGGCAGTGCTGGAAAATAATGGTGGCCACACAAAATATTGACACTTTGGGCCCAGTTTGGACATTTTCACTTAGGGGTGTACTCACTTTCGTTGCCAGCGGTTTAGACATTAATGGCTGTGTGATGTGATATTTTGAGGGGACAGCAAATTTACACAGTTATACAAGCTGTACAGTCACTACTTCACATTGTAGCAAAGTGTCATTTCTTCAGTGTTGTCACATGAAAAGATATAATCAAATATTTACAAAAATGTGGGGAGTGTACTTACTTTTGTGAGATACTGTAAATGCAATTTTCAGATTTATTAATTTTTTAAATCAGGAATGGGATAGGATGGGAACATAGACTGCATATAAAAAGGATAGGAGTAATACTTCTGGGATTGTGACGGGACAAGAATGGTTTTTACTGTCATGGGAGTGGGATGGGACAGGAGTGAATACTGACTCCTGTGTCACCCTCTAATAGTTGGGCATTTTAATGGGAGCCTGTGGAGATTGACTCGCCTTTGGAGCAGGTTCAAGTGGTCATTCAATCAATGAACTGCAGTTTTTGGCCCTTCTGCGTTGGATTAATTTTTCCACCCCTGGAGGTTACCACTTGGTTTCACTTCATACAGCCAGACATTGTTTTCATGTTAGCCGATTACTTGTTGGGAGGGGACTTATTTTCTCTGTCCCACATCTTTAGTTGAGACGGACACTGTGAGGAAAGTAAGTATTTGAACACCCTGCTATTTTGCAAGTTCTCCCACTTAGAAATCATGGAGGGGTCTGAAATTGTCATCGTAGGTGCATGTCCACTGTGAGAGACATAATCTACAAAAAAAAAAAAATCCAGAAATCACATTGTATGATTTTTTAACTATTTATTTGTATTATACAGCTGCAAATAAGTATTTGAACACCTGAGAAAATCAATGTTAATATTTGGTACAGTAGCCTTTGTTTGCAATTACAGAGGTCAAACGTTTCCTGTAGTTTTTCACCAGGTTTGCACACACTGCAGGAGGGATTTTGGCCCACTCCTCCACACAGATCTTCTCTAGATCAGTCAGGTTTCTGGGCTGTCGCTGAGAAACACGGAGTTTGAGCTCCCTCCAAAGATTCTCTATTGGGTTTAGGTCTGGAGACTGGCTAGGCCACGCCAGAACCTTGATATGCTTCTTACAGAGCCACTCCTTGGTTATCCTGGCTGTGTGCTTCGGGTCATTGTCATGTTGGAAGACCCAGCCTCGACCCATCTTCAAAGCTCCAACTGAGGGAAGGAGGTTGTTCCCCAAAATCTCGCAATACATGGCCCCGGTCATCCTCTCCTTAATACAGTGCAGTCGCCCTGTCCCATGTGCAGAAAAACACCCCCAAAGCATGATGCTACCACCCCCATGCTTCACAGTAGGGATGGTGTTCTTGGGATGGTACTCATCATTCTTCTTCCTCCAAACACGGTTAGTGGAATTATGACCAAAAAGTTCTATTTTGGTCTCATCTGACCACATGACTTTCTCCCATGACTCCTCTGGATCATCCAAATGGTCATTGGCAAACTGAAGACAGGCCTTGACATGTGCTGGTTTAAGCAGGGGAACCTTCCGTGCCATGCGTGATTTCAAACCATGACGTCTTAGTGTATTACCAACAGTAACCTTGGAAACGGTGGTCCCAGCTCTTTTCAGGTCATTGACCAGCTCCTCCCGTGTACTTCTGGGCTGATTTCTCACCTTTCTTAGGATCATTGAGACCCCACGAGGTGAGATCTTGCATGGAGCCCCAGTCCGAGGGAGATTGACAGTCATGTTTAGCTTCTTCCATTTTCTAATGATTGCTCCAACAGTGGACCTTTTTTCGCCAAGCTGCTTGGCAATTTCCCCGTAGCCCTTTCCAGCCTTGTGGAGGTGTACAATTTTGTCTCTAGTGTCTTTGGACAGCTCTTTGGTCTTGGCCATGTTAGTAGTTGGATTCTTACTGATTGTATGGGTGGACAGGTGTCTTTATGCAGCTAACGACCTCAAACAGGTGCATCTAATTTAGGATAATAAATGGAGTGGAGGTGGACATTTTGAAGGCAGACTAACAGGTCTTTGAGAGTCAGAATTCTAGCTGATAGACAGGTGTTCAAATACTTATTTGCAGCTGTATCATACAAATAAATAGTTAAAAAATCATACATTGTGATTTCTGGATTTTTTTTTTGTGATTATGTCTCTCACAGTGGACATGCACCTGCGATGACAATTTCAGACCCCTCCATGATTTCTAAGTGGGAGAACTTGCAAAATAGCAGGGTGTTCAAATACTTATTTTCCTCACTGTATATGATATATGTAAATAAGAGTTGCTGTTTCTGTAAGGGAACTGTCGATCTCACCCCCACCTACTGCCACCTTCCTGTTGCTATTTTAGACTGTGTAGCTAGGTAGTTAGCTATGTTGGAAAATGATGTCCCCATTCTTAATTCTACCTGCTAGAGTCTTATTGGTGACTTGTTTCTCTTGCTGAGGTTACAGCTGTAAGTGGACAAGCCAGACCTATGTAAATTGCTGAACAAATCTGAGATGTGGGTGGTGATTCAGAGGTCTGAAGCCAGGCTATAATACAACCAGCAATCTTTTCATTATAAATTCATACTGCACACCCACATCATCATGTCCCGTATTTATCAAGCTTCTCAGAATTACTCATAAGGACACCAATAAGAATTGACTTAAAAGTAAAAAAAAAATCTTAAGTCTTCTTCTTAAAAGTTAGTTATAAAGCATCTCAGTCCTAATTTAAGTGAAGTGTTGAAGCCGATTCAGAACACTTTGCTGTGCCCCACACGGGATTTTGGAAGACGACATGGGCAAAGACCAATCACTGAATAGATTTCCTTATTTAAGAATATTCTCAGATTAAATTCACATTGAATGGTGAAATTCCTAAGAGGAATTTACATTTAACAGGCATTTGACAATAAATACGTTTCAAGAGAATACATTACAACACATTCAACGATGTATACATTGAAAATGAAAGATGAAATATATCTGTGCGTTATTGGTAGACCCTGGCCATTTGGGCACCACATCCAAAGTGTTGTAGTCGGCATTGTACACAACTAGTGTGTTGATGCTGCGGTACCTCTTCCTGTTCACATAAATGTTCTCGTTTAAACTGGGAGCAATGATCTTTATACAAGTGCCTTCAATTGCACCTACTACTCCTGGGAAACCGGCTATTTGCATGAATTGTGTTTGACTCTGTTGGATTACGCAGGGAGATGTTGGGAAGTCGATGAACGTGTGACTGTGTGAAGCTCTAAGTGCCATAATTGTTTATATGACAATTCGGTGATGCCTGCTCTGTCCAAACAATACCGTTGGATTAACTGCACATTATCAAATAATTCAGAAACATTCATCCTCTCCTGAAAGCTTTGCGCATGTCTGTCTCCACAGTGCCATCACAAGCCCCTACTGGCAACTCCTAACCACTTAAGTGACCTCTCGAGCGGTCTCAAGAACTGGCAGAGTAAAGAGTGATTCTTAGCATTAAGAAAATTAACTTGCTTTTACACTTAAGTTTGAAAGTAGGAGTACATTTCATGAATTCTCAGCACATAAATACCGGCCCAGGTTTATATTCTCAGACTTAAAGCTCCTCCTGAGCCACAAAAGACATTCAAATGTTTTTACAAG